CATGATCATATCTTCAATTCTCTAATTTTGATGAACATTTTTGTTATTTTTGGTAAAAAGTGATATTTTCGACTTCTTGTTAAAAACCACAAGTCCTATTGCTTTGATATTACATATATAGGTACTACTGTAAAATCTGTATTAGAAGCTGCGTCTTCTATTGAAATGGTACAATGCAACAGACGGGATGTGGCTTCTATTAGAGCATCTACACATATGAGAAATGATAAATTTTTTGTTCTCAATTATTTTAAAAAAGTGTGTGCGACTTCTATTAGGGATGCGGCTTCTAATACAGATTTTACTGTACTTGTGGATCTCTCTCAGATTTGTTCATTTTGTAATGATATCTTCAATTCTCTAATTTTGGTGAATATTTTTGTCATTTTTGGTAAAAAGTGATATTTTCAACTTCTTGTTAAAAACCGCAAGTCCAATTGCTTTGATATTACATGTATAGGTACTACATGTGGACCTCTCTCAAATTTGTTCGATTCATAATGATATCTTGAATTTTCTAATTTTGATGAATATTTTTGTCATTTTTTGTAAAAAGTGATATTTTCAATTTCTTGTTAAAAATCACAATCATTTATGGTGAAAAATAATATTTTTGAATTCTTGTTGAAAACAGCAAGTCCCATTGCATTGATACTATGCATATTGTTCATTTTCTAATAAAATCTTCTGTTCTTCAATTGAAATGTGCATTGCTAACAGCGGAGCTATCTCAGCCGAGAGGCTGCTTGTTTTTTCTCTCACCACAATTTTAGAATCAATGTTACTGCAATTTTGTTAAAATCCTTGAAGTATTGTTTTTTTCTTGATTTTTAAACCAATTTTGTACAACTTTGTGTACTGAATATTGCAAAACTTAAATTGGATGTTAGTTATTTCTCTACTTTTAAGCTAACACCTGAAATTGGAATTTAGTTAGTGTCTGAATAAAACAGATCATTTAATACATTTCTGGTAAAGTTGTAGAAATTCTCTTCCATATCTTCAAATGCCCCAGATTCTTCCAGATGTATTCGTAATTGTAGTCTAACCTGTCTCCCATGATGCATTGCTGTATATTTGCCTATCACTACTCTGTGTTTTCCTGCCCCATTACCCAAATAGCCAAGTGGATAATTATTATAATGATGGATATAAGTGAATTTGAAGTCTTTCGAATTACCACAAAAATATGCATTCTTAACAAGGTATAAAATGATTTATTGATTTGGTTTAAATTTTGTATTGTAGTTTGCCGTGGTATATATGTATAGAAGGTAAATCTCTCCTTGGTTGTATGTAATTCTGCAATCCCACCCCGTTTTACCATGCTAAAATTATAATAGTCTGTTGCTATTAGGATATAGAATAAACACGGTAACTCCCATATGCTAAAATGTGGGCTTTTTAGTGAAAAAAAATATCCTATAAATTCCAACGTTTTAGTCAGAAAGTCTCTCAGCCTTAGTCTCATGATAGTGTTAAATATTTTATTTTCACTGCTGGCAGATTTCTGAGGCTATTGGTTTTGTACGTAAATCATTAAAGCTGAACGACACTCACCTGGAATCGCTACATCTCCTAGCATTGCTGCTTTCAGCTCAGAAAAAATACCAGGAAGCCTTGAAAGTCATAGAAATAGCATTATCAGGTCATCCATCAAATCTAAGGTATGCTAGCACGATATACTGTAATTAAACGTTCTCAAAACTCATTATGACTTGTTTACATTTTCGTGCATTTTTCTAGGATTTTCTTAGTAATTTTGGACCAAATGTACATAGTTTTCGGTTGGCTACAGGTGTTAATAAACGATTTTTAAATGATTATGAAAAAAAAAAAATTTTCTGGATCTATTTGTTAAAGTAGACAAGAGTTGAATTTAGTATTAATGAACCCATGTAGTTGACATTCACTGCTATCAAATTGTATGAGTTTCGCTGAAATTCTTTAATTTGAGCAGTTTACATATTATACTAAATAAGATAAATAAGACCCTCACAACAATTATAATAAGTAAGTTAGTAAATATACGGGTAGTTATTTAATTAATATCATTCTTGCCTGTGTCAATTTTCCGTATTTGCCTAATGAAATTTTGTGATGTCACTGTGACTCGATATTTCAAGAATCCTAGTAGAATTTTCTGTAAATCACAATATTTGAGAACACTCATCCCCCCTTGAGATGTGTGTTATTTATGAAATTTGGATTCTGCATGTGTTAGAAAGAAACAGACGTTGTCAAATTTATGGCAGTTTTAATTGATTCATTATAGCTATTTATGAAAACTGCAGGTGAAAGGCCTACATGACGTATGATGAATTGTATATATCAATGTTTTACCATCAAAATATACAGGATACTGGTACAGTTAATAATGTACTTCTCTCAGGTGAACTACTGTAAAATACTTTATTTTAGCTTAAATTAATTGTCACTGAAAAGACTTTTTGGGTGTTTTGTATGGAATTTATTTTCACTGTTTTTTGACGATTTGAATGTTAAATATAGGTAAAAGGGTATATTTGCTAGATTTTATTTTCACTTGATCATTCCTTCAGCGAAAATAGCTAAATTGCTGAGTTGCAAGTGAAAATGAAGTATTTTACAGTACTCAAATCTCTAAATACATATGGTAATACACTGGGACTTGTTTTGCTAAATGTTTTCATCGATCATGGCGATATGCACATAAAATTAGCTCGATCCTAACTGACAAAGAATGTCATTACCGCCATTCACATCTAACTGTCAGTAATTACTATTTTAAATAAACATCTCAAAATTGTTAATTTTACAAATTTCCTATTATATTTTCAGTTTGTTATTTACTAAAGTGAAATTAGAAGAGTTTGTTTATGATTCTGAGGAAGCGTTGATGACATGTAAGCGTATGCTAGAACTCTGGAAATCAACACATGAATCCATGTTGTCAAAGTAAGTTTATCCCCTGCCCTTATATAATTGAGATTATCCCCTCAACAAATATTTTGTTTGTTCGTTATTTTGTATTATTATCTGTGTACCATATTTGCTCTGTTATAAATAATAGAATTGCACATAAACGACATTTATTATATAATGAATCATGCATTGTTAGCAAAAATTGGTTGAAAGCCTTTTCAATTCTGAGTTCTAATAACTAAAAGTTATGGCATTTGCGAGTTTTTTATTGTCTCCACTACAATATATCTCATCATGTATTGCTGTTCAAAATCTGCTGTGAGTTGCAAAACACAACTAACTTAGGAGGTACTTGTATTACTTGACTCGTCAAAAAATTCTAACAATATTTTGCTGACAATGCAACTTTAATATGACCATGGACACATCTGTCATTTACAGGACGTTTGAAGATCATGCACACAAAGAAATACTGTAAAATATTTTATTTCAGCTGGAATTATTTTTCACTGAAAAGACTTTTTGGGTGTTTTGTATAGAATTTATTTTCACTAATTTTTGATGAGTTGAAAAAAGGTATTTTTTTTCTCTGGATTTTATCAGCAAAAATAGTGAAAAGAAATTCCAAGCAGAAATAAAGTATTTTATAGTATATTTTGTGCAATCAACCGTTGCAGTGTACAAAAGAATTATACCGATTTATGTTCTCTATCTTTATACAATATTAATATGAAGCTGTACATGTGAAGTGATGATCCTGTTGAGTCGAGTAGCCAAACCTCATTTATATAACGTAATTAAAATCAATGAACCAGAGGTTACACTTTAATGTATCTATAAGTCTCTTAGGTTTGCCTGCCACTAGGTGAGGCGGGGCACTTTCCAGAAAACAAAATTACATCCAGGCATCCGCCATTAGAGCCAATCTCATTAAAATAAAGTCCTATTTTTTTTCAAATATGTATTTAATTATATTGTATTATTTATTTGCTAGTATTTTTTTTTAAAATATATGTAATATAAGTAATTATTAAAATACATATTACAATTTTTAAAAAAAAGCCCAAACTAGGATCTTATTCTAAAAATCAATATATATCGTATATAAAAACATTCAAATAATTTTAATAAATTTAAAAAAAAAATGCTGTAATTTTTACTGCTAAAACTAGAAATTGCAAAAATAATTATTTTGTTTAGGCAAAGCTCCATCTTCATCCAATTGTCTTCTTTATAGGGTTACTGTAAAATGACTAATTTTCACTGGGTTTAAATTTTGCTTATTCAGCATTTCATGCATATTTAATGGGTTTTAAATTCACAGTTTTATCATTTAGATATTACCGATATGTGTTCTATGCTAAATTTTACATATTCACTGTGTTTTAATTTAGCGCATTTTCCAGTCAGCGAAATAAGCAAAATTAAAACCCAGTGAATAATTAACCCCTTTACAGTAGTTACTCATGAGCTATTTATATATTCTACTCATGCTATGCTGAACATCATGCCATATACACATGTATGTGGTTGCACACAATTTACCAGACAAAGTGTTTTGAGTGTTGCAAGGGCTACAATAACATGTAAAAACTGTTAGTGATTAATCAGTATTCTTTTTTTAATCAAGCTTTTTCTGTACAGTACATCTTTAAGTAAATTGAAATGAACAGTTATTATGTTATTGTTCTATTAGAAACGCATGTAAACAACAATTTATTGTTTACTGAATCATTCTAATATGACAATGGACATGAAAATCACATGCCACTATGCATATGGTGTAGACACAACTGACGCATACACATGTTGATATCACTTCACTTGATACTGTATTCAAAGTGCATATGTTTACCCTATTAAACCTATAGACTGTTATTTTAAATTATTAATGACATATGTGACTATAAATATTCTTGCAACTATTCTGTTACTCTCTTATGTAGTTACATCCACTGTCTGTATAATAATATCCACTATACAAATGTATTTGTATATTGTTAGAATCATTTACTGTTGAATCAATAACAAAGGGAACAATAGAATGAATACAGCAAAATATGTTTGATGTCTAGTATTTCAAAGTAACAAACTCAGTCTAGTAATTACAAGTGTTACTGGATTGGATGCTTAAAAGCCCAGGTATACTATAAATACGCACCTAAACAATAGGGATTATTTCCTTGCTTGTCACGCTGTAGTAAACAGCTCCTGCCAAGCTCCGGTAAAAACGCGTTTTCTCGAACTTACAGGTCGATTATGTCGTGCCAAAGTGGATGTATGTGACTATGAATTTTACAGCAGTGACTGTGCATAGTATTTATGACAATGAATAGTGTACGAGCTGAGATTTTGGCGGATAAAAGTCAAAAACACGAACCGGGGAAAGGGACGCGCTACTAATCTTGAATAATTAACTACTGTCAATCAAAGTCATGTGATGTTGGACCGCTGAAACAGGATGCATCATAGGCTATGCAAGTGATTAACAACACTCATCAGCATAGCCACACCTCCAATTCACACTTGCCCGGGGCAAGTGAATTGGGCCTTTAAGCATGTCTGTCCATCTTGAATTTGTTTGGATGAAGTCTCAAAGCTGAGTTTTTACATTATTTGTATTTGTATTTATTTATTTTTTATGCACAGGATATAAAACCTACAATAAAATCTACAGCAACAATTTTACAGTGAAAACCAGCAAGATTCAAAATATTGTTGAGTACCTGGAGACATTTGTCTACAGCCAAGACATAATTTCTATGTGTAAATATGTTGGTACTGTAGACAAAGTTTCCTGGCCGTCAACAATATTTTGAAACAAAGTAGGTACATGTATATCAGTTGTTCTGATCTTACAACATTCAGAGCAATCTCAATGTAGAGTTAGTTGCCGTGCTAGTTGCACGATATTTGAAAGAACAGGTACAAGTGTTTTGAATATCATATTTACTTCTGGTGTTATGATAATGGGTGGCCGAGTTTGCAGCAAGTAGATCTGATAACAGGGAATGCTCTTGTATTTGGTAACAAGTTGATTAAAATGTTTCATTTGTCATTTTTTGATGTATTGTTTGCCCATATGTGCATGTGTGTGCATCTATGTGGATGTGTCTCTTCCTTTCGTTTGTTTGTTTATACATCAATGTATTCCTGTATTTTAATCATGCATTGGCAGATTTGATTCAAACTTTCAACAAATACAAGACTTTATATTAACACTTTAAATGGCAATCAGATGAACGACTGACTGGATATCACATTTTTCTTTATAGTGCAACAAGTTCCACCATTTGTCATATTCAAAAATCAAACGTGTATTGTCAATTCCATACCTATTGTTAATGAGAAGAGTTCAGTCCTTAAGTACGAAAACCTCCCTTCTCATGGCGATTGACAGGACGTTAGAAAACACAGTGATGATTTGTTTTTTGTATTCCCTCAGTGAATCAAGTCGCGGTACTGGCCTACTGGAGAGGGTTACAAGTGACAAGAGAAGCTTGGCACATATACATCTTGTTGAATTCAGTGATCGTGATTCAGGTAAAAATCTCCAACTGCCCATATACATACATATTATTTTTTTTTTTTAAATACATTGGTTCCTTTGTGATATAGTTGCTTTTCTCCATCATTATTCTTCATTTCCTTACTTTTTTCTCGTTAACCTCATATGGCTTTTGTGAAAAAAAAAAATGATTTCATTATTTATTCATTACTCCAAGATGATTCAGAGTTTTTCACAATCGTACATGTAGTGTTATACCATAAGTGCTCATTGTTTTATTTCATTTTGCATATGCATGCAAACAGCTGCAAAGTATGTACAAAACCCACCCAAAAGTAAGTGATTTCATTGACATTATGTGTGTGGTATTATTATTATGATGATTTTTTTTTTTATCCACTTTGTTGCCATGGTTGCCATTTGGTGCACTGCATTCTGGGAATTTTATCACATCTGCTTATATCTTGCATACTAATTTTGTTTGATTAGAAATAAATCCTAACTCTGCCGTGACATTCAAATCTACTAGAATAGATAGCATGTGGTCTGAATCACAGTGTCTTCTTTACTCTGCACCAATGCCTGCCATTTTATTAATTCTTATAATAAAGTAGTAAAATTTGGAATATTTTAATTTGTCACTGGATTTTGACTTCTTGTCAATTTCTGTGTATAGTGTATTCCCACACACTGCCCCTCAGGCAATAAAAAGATGACATCATATATCCTAAAAAAAAGTGTTGTAATTGGAAATATTGTTTCACATATAAATGTACATGTATATATATGTATGGCTGGTTGGCAGCCATTTTTCTCAGAATTTTAATATAAGCTAGAATTAATATTTTGAATGCCAGATGCTCAAATTTAAATTGAGAGAAACCGGTCACTGATAGCATAGTGGTTGTCTCATCAGACTCGTGATCGGTAGACCCAAGTTCAAATCCTACCTTAGGCTGAACATCAAACGGGTCGACCCCTACCCTGGGTGAGTGTGCCACAGACTCAATGGGAAGGCCAATTCCACTGGCCGAGATTCATTCACTAGCGAATGCGACTTTGGGGGAACCTTGGTTAAGGTCTGCAGGTGCTTGTGTACGACAGAGCCTCATTGACGCCAGGATAGTGCATTAAAAATTGCCATTTGATAGGGAGATGGCCACACAGCCTTGTCATGTAGTCCCAAGCTGGAAATGACTTCTGTGGCAAAATGCACTATGTGTCAGCACTAGCACTTGCAATTTGCACTTACAAAAAAGAAAAAAAGTCAGGTGACATTCAATGTTCGAAACTGTCGCCTGGCACAAAAACATTTAAAAAAAAAAAATTGAGAGAAATCTTTTAGACAGCATGAATTGGTGACAATTCTGAACGAAACATTGATTACATATTCATGTTATACCAAAATATGCCATATGCGAGTACCAAGTTGCGAGTCACAAGTAGCAAAATATGCCATATGTGAGTACCAAGTTGCGAGTCACAAGTAGCAAAATATGCCATATGTGAGTACCAAGTTGCGAGTCACAAGTAGCAAAATGTGCCATATGTGAGTACCAAGTTGCCAGTCACAAGTAGCAAAATATGCCATATGTGAGTACCAAGTTGCGAGTCACAAGTAGCAAAATGTGCCATATGTGAGTACCAAGTTGCCAGTCACAAGTAGCAAAATATGCCATATGCGAGTACCAAGTTGCGAGTCACAAGTAGCAAAATGTGCCATATGTGAGTACCAAGTTGCGAGTTACAAGTAGCAAAATATGCCATATGTGAGTACCAAGTTGTGAGTCACAAGTAGCAAAATATGCCATATGTGAGTACCAAGTTGCGAGTCACAAGTAGCAAAATATGCCATATGTGAGTGGTAAAAACGGCATATGCGAGTGGCATAAAAAGGCCTATGCAAAGGGTCAAATGTGTTGTTTGTGAGCGGTAAAACAAAGGCCGGGAAAACGGGTGTATGCGAGGGGTGAAATGAGTTATTTGTGAGTGGTAAACATTATCCGTTAGAATGCGTTAGGGACCTCGGTACTACAGGAATGTCAGTTTGATCAACGGCTGGATTTGCATAATAACGTACGTTCAAATGCGTTTATCATGGTAAAATCAAATATTTATTATGATTAGGAAATGGTGCGTACATGGTTGGTTAGATTATTAAGGCATTATGCTGTTGAAGCTTTTATTTTAGGGGCGATTCATATATAAAAATAATGATAGCAAATAGGTGTCAGCGCGATCTAGTAGCTTAGGTGTCAACCGGCGCATGCCACCCGGTACTCATCATTACCATTTTTTTTTATTTTTTTTTATTTCGATTATTATTATCATTTTTTTTAAACATGACTTTAGTCTTAATGTTTTGTATTATTAGTCTAGTTTTGTTTAGTGTAAATGTAACCATTTTAATTCCTCCTGGGGAATTTTATGTGTTTAATAAAGTATAAGTACAGTCGGCCAGTATACGCGGATAACATTGTGAAGGTTGCAAATAAATGAAGCTTAAACTACTATTTCCATGTAGTGCTTTTTGTTTATTATTCATTTGAGTGTTTATATCAAAAAGTTCGTTCAGTCGTTTGCATAGAATCAATGTTTGCTCTTCACACTGCACAGGAAACATGAGAGCACAATAATTTGATAAACAGCCATGAAGGTGTCTTCATGAAACAGCCATCACATTCCACATTAACATGTGAAAATTGTTCTTTGTTTCGGTAAAATTAGTATGAACCCGTGGTCTGCGTTAAAAGAATCATAGAATTATAATTGTAGTCAGTAAAAACGGTTGGTCACAAAAAGGTCGCGACTATAAAGGGGAATTCTTGTGTCACGCTCCGCCGGTTAAATAAAAACAATGGCAGGCTTCAAAAATAGTCACACCTCGAACTGATAGTATACGTGAAGAAATAAAGTGCATGTTGTGTGATGTCCCTCACACATGGAGTGTATTTACACGCAACCCGATCAAATTAAATTGAAACAAAGAAGCGTCTGCCATTGCTTCAGTGGGATAGAGACAATATTTACGGGTAAATAGAAGACTTATCCTCAATGCCCCAAACACTTCGACCTAACCACTTTACTTGTATAAGTAGTGAAAAGTTGTATGTTTCGTTAAAATAAGAATGGACATGTTAGCGTTGAAATAATCATAGAAGTACAATTATCATCAGTAAAGATAGACTCGCTGAACAGGAACTCACACGTGAGCCAATGAAAACAATGGCTGGATTCAAATTAATTTTGTCCCAGACAAGACATGGACAACAATTAAACTTGTTAATTTCGTGGTATTTCAACAGTTTTGTAATGAAGTAGGCCCTTCGCAAAATCCCCCTATATAATGCTGCAGTGTATAATGAGGATTCTGTCAACAAATGGGAATGCACGTTTCTACTTTGACCTAGAACGTGCGCCGCTGACTTGAGGAAATCACGACTTGTGTGTTTGATTAAGCACCTATACCCCTCCCCACACACA